GACTAGGTGGAGTATATCATAATATGTAGTTACACGGACTAGGTGAGTATATCATAATATGTAGTTACACGGACTAGGTGAAGTATATCATAATATGTAGTTACACGGACTAGGTGAAGTATATCATAATATGTAGTTACACGGACTAGGTGGAGTATATCATAATATGTAACCTAGTCCGTGTAACCAGTATATCATAATATGTATCTCTGTGGGCCATGTAGCTCATCGTTTGTAGCTCCGTACATATAGGTTTATATACTTCAATAATTTTTAAAATGAGAGAAAATGCTTAGTTTCTGAGATTTTGTGTCTTTCTATAAAGTGTTTAATTTTCTATAATTTACAGAGAGATTAAACGCTAAAAGGAACTTCCATTATTGTAGTCACAATGAACAATGTTTGACACTTAATGTAACAATACTTAATATAACATTATTTGGTATCCAATGTAGCAAGGTTTAATATTTAATATAACAATGCTAGGTGTATAATATAACAATGTTTGATATATAATATAACAATGCTAGGTGTATAATATAACAATGTTTGGTATATATAATATAACAATGTTTGATATATACTATAACAATGCTGGGTGTATAATAAAACAATGTTTGATATATAATAATGCTTGACATATAACAATGCTGGGTGTATAATATAACAATGTTTGATATATAATATAACAATGTTTGGTATATAATATAACAATGTTTGATATATAATACATTGATGAGTGAAGTAACCTTTGTAATAAAACTGGTTTATATGAAGAGGCAGCTATGTTTGAAACTCCATACAATATATTTAAACCTATTCCTTTGTACAGTACTTCTTCTCTCACTGATAAATGACAGTATTACAAACAATAGTTTCCTTCCGTACCGAGATGTATATTTCATAAACAACAGATATTTAATCTGGACAATTATACCGACAACTCTCTCTCTCCGAAGCTTTGGGGGGACGAAGAAGTGGAAAAAAATTGAAACACTATTTTGGTGACGACATCAGACTTCGACTATATAAATTAAAAAACACAAACACGTTAAGTGACTTAACTTACCAGAGCATAACGTGGGGAATTCTGGTAAAGAGTACCAACTCGTGTCCAGTTGAAATGCTGCAACAGGGCGACTCTTGCTGGATTGAATGCAGTTTCGCTCGGCACTACTCGGAAAAAGTTCGGGTAGTTTTCCATAGTATACATCGGATGAGTGTCAGCATAGGTTAACTGCACATAGAAGGACATAAACGTTATCAATTAAGCTGCATCTTTTTATTCAATTAAAAAAATATATATAGGAGATCACGAAAATACGACAGCAAAGTCAAGACAAATACTTCGCCAATTATTTTTTTAGAAAACGTCAACATTGTATTCAAATATCCCGCTTGACGAAAACCGTCGATAAATATTGTTACACTGAAGTATAAAATAACATTTTTATAATTATGCGAAATTTCCCTTGTCAGTCGACAGCTGCTGCCCAAGTATATTGATTATTAAAGTCGAACTCTAAGGAGACTCCTGGAGGAACAAAGGCCAGTGCTCAGGCTAGTGCCAAATTCTAAAGAAATTGGTAGAAAGACAAAGGCCAGTGCCCAGGCTGGTGCCTAACTCTAAGGAGACTCCTGGAGGAACAAAGGCCAGTGCTCAGGCTAGTGCCAAATTCTAAAGAAATTGGTAGAAAGACAAAGGCCAGTGCCAGGCTGATGCCAAACTCTAAGGAGACTGGTAGAGGAACAAAGGTCAGTACCCAGCTGGTGCCAAATTCTAAGGATACTGCTGGAGAGACAAAGGCCAGTGCTCAGGCTAGTGCCAAATTGTAAGGATACTGCTGGAGAGACAAAGGCCAGTGCTCAGGCTAGTGCCAAATTGTAAGGATAC